CATAAATTTGGCAGTTGTCAGCATTTAACTCAAGAAATAAAAGTTAATGCTACAGAAGCAACATGTAGTTATAAAGACAGTAATGAAATACTGAGACTACAGTTTACCTGGCCAGAGCTCTGAAATACAGCATGTCCTTGACCTTTGCTAGAGAGCTTCCATGAGAACCACCAACCTCCCTCTCCCTAACCCCCATATTTCCCCAAAATCAAGAATACGACCATATCAGAACACTTCCTTCAAGGATATTTACACAAAGAAAAATATTATCACTTCAAAAGTTATTGAACATACCATGACTACTTTGAGAACAAAGCTATGTTGAAATGCTGGATGCCCAGCTAAGTCCTCTCACCGACTATGTGAGCACATCATTCTCAGAGCTCACACAATTCAAATCTGTGCCTCAGCAAAATTATAATTTACTACATCACAAAAATTCTAGGTCAGTGAAGAGGAGTCAATAAGGGAAAAGATCTCGAATGCCAGTATCTGTGATACACAACCAAAAATCTTAGTTGAAAAAGATGAAGATGATAGGTCTACAGACTAGATCAAATAACTTTTAATTCTGTCCCTTCTTAGCCAAGAGATATCAGACAAACATCAATTAAGCATTTTTATTTCCATATTGCAGAAACTTTCACCACATTAGATAAAACTTGCAGATACGAGGTATACCACAGACAAGTTAAACAATATTTTTAAAAGTTGCAAATACTCTTTCATACTAAAGTTAAAAAAAAAAAAAAAAGGCCAGGTATCAAGTAAACATGCCTCCTGAGAGGTGACATAGCAATCGAAGATAGAAAAGTAAGGAGAAAATACAAAAGGATTAAGAAGCAAAAGGAGAAAACCTAGGCAAGCTAGAATAAATACTCTTTTACATTTTAGAGCAGAAAGATGTCAGGTTTATATATACCAGTGAACAGTGGAAAGCTAGTCGTCCCTCCACCTCTTTAGTTCAGCCTAACAAAAGTTTAACTTAAATCCGTATGTTTAGCAATAGTCTATATTTTCACTCTTATTTAGCAACCCATACCTCCATCCATACCATCTGCTAGTGCAAAAGAAGTCTGTAAGATCTCATAAGTGAAGGAAAAAAAAGTCTTCTGAAAAATCTAGTGGATTCTCGCTCTTCTTTATTGGCCTTATCAAATCTTTGCTCTCACCAATCCTGTCTAGAGTTTTATTAAGAAAAAAAAAGAAAAAAAGAAAAAAGCCAACAAGTGTGACCCAAGGATTATACACTACTTACCAACTGATCTGGATTAAGTTGCTCTCCATTTTTCAGGCGATCCTTGTAGTCCTCCAGTTTGAGCTACAAAAGAGAAACTTGTATCTACTGTAGTCTCATACAAAATTCTGAAAAAAATAAACTAAATACCAGACTGTTTCTTATGAAAACAAAGTTCTTGAAGTATGCTATCAATCTGTAAGAATACTGGTTTACTACAAGGCAGGCAGCAACTGTAGATAAGATCCAGCCAGGGAAAAAATATTACAATCAACATTAGTGTGGAATTAGAAAAGTTAAGCAGTAATAAAACTCTTCTCTTCATGGCCTCTACTTACAATCAGACTACTTAACACACAGACACTTAACTAGTCAATCATATGCCCCTACCCCAGTGGTGCTCAATCAGAGATAATTTTGACCCCCAGGGATCTATGGCAGTATCTGGAGATGTTCTTGGTTGTCACTACTTGAAGGATGAGAGGGAGGTGGAGAATGCTACAGGCATCGTGTGACTAGAACCCAAGGATGCTGCGAATCATCCTACAATCCACAGGATAGCCCCCCCCCCCCCCACACACACACACACCCTGTCTGCAACAAAAGAATTATCTGGCACAAAAACGTCAATAGTGTTGGGGCGGAGAAATCCTGTTCTAACCTCATGCTTAAACTATTAGTTACCTGTTGAATTACGTGGCATTTGTCGAATAGCAAACTTCTTCATGGAAGTGTAGAAATGTAGAAGATATTTTCTCTAGCATTATAATAGACTTAACTCAAAGCTTTTTTTCTATTGAGTTTCATATTTCAGTGAATACATGACAAATTGCATTTATTGTCCCCAGAATAATGACATGACCCAGTACAGTATTCTAAAAGCAATGTTTAGGCTTCTCCCATATTGGCTTTATAGTTTTAAATTGCTTTTCCAGAAGCTTGAAACAAAAGCATTGTTACTGACCAGGTAAGTATTCAAACTTAAGGAGGTACTATATTTACACTAGAGCATGTAAGTATATACATATATGTAGTTCCTCCACCTGGGAAAAAGACATTAATGAGTCTCCATCAACAGATCCTGCTTTGAATAGATCGTGCTTTGACTAGTTTCCCATAGTGGCAGGGAATTTGTGCTGACCCAGGCACACTCACCTTATCACACTTGTGATCAACTGCATGCATTCAAAAGACAACTGATGAGAGCTAGGGTTACAGAGAAGCTACTAGTAACTGGTCTTTCTTCCCTACCTTGGCATGGGGGGTGGGGGCTGGGGGGAGACAGAGTCCACCAGACTCTTAAAAATCTCTTCATACTCCTCCATTAAAAGCAACTTTCCTATGGTTGAACTAGATCCTGGAATAAAAATATGTAAGTGTTCCCAGGTCCAGATAGTCAATCACTCACCTTACTATCACAAGCAAAAGAGAATCATGACACAACAAAGCAACGTGCAGCACTGTTTCACAGGCTACATGACTCAGGAAATAAGGAATGATTTGGATCTTTACATCAGCATTTACTGTAACATTGGGCTGATTATAATTTGAGTCTCTTTATAAGGCTTTCTACAATGTTCACCTACCAATCTTAAACGATCACCTAGCAACACAAAAATTAGTGCTAAAACCTTTTCTGGCTCTCCCATCGCTGAAGCTTCCAATGACTGCAGCAGCTTTACTGCAATATCAACTGCTGCAGAAAGTCACAAGGAAAACAAGCTAAAAAAAAAAAATCAGGCTATTACTCATCTATGAAAAGAAACATTAATACCACACTCAAAGAATTAATCTGACTTAAAGTTGCTGGCTCTTCAAGTATTTCAACAGCAGCATGCATAGTAATTTTACTATGAGGAATATTTCTATTTAGTTATGCTGAGAAATCAAATAAAATGCTTAATATACCCAATATTTAACCTACTTGTATGTTTTCGGCCAGCTAAATCCCAAGGTTAGGTAAATCTTTTAGGAAAGAGTACCTCTGAGCCCTGACAGAAAGCAAAAATGCCAGTTCCCTAACCCTTATTAAAGATGGTACATATACAGGGATGGGAGGGAAAAAAGTTACCTTCTTTTTCTCGATGTTTCTAATTTTGTGTTTAAGGCATATGAGTCCATTATCGATATATGTCTCATATGCTTGGGAAGGAGAGGCAGCAGAACTGAGAGCAGACTGCAAAGGGCTCATGGCCCGCTGGCTTTCCCCATGCTGACTGTGGTTCACTTGGGGCTTGGCTGACTTCATATTCCCCTCTCTTCCCTCCTCTGAATGGCCTGAAGGTGACTGGTAACCAAAAGGAGATGAAGAGAGTTGCACCATTGAAACAGATGAAGCTGAAGGAAGGAAGGAAAAAAAAAAAGTTAAAAGTAAATTAAGACTAGAGGAGGCCATGGAGATTCGAACTTCCCTGAAAAATCTAGACCCACTCCCTCAAAATTCTTTTGCACAGAAGTGAGCTCAAAACCCAGCGATGCTAGGTACTGTGTTTCCATCTTACTACTTTTAAGGAGATTAGTGCCAAGTGCTAGCGCCTTTACGTGGGCAAAATCTACAATACGGGGGATGTTTCCAGAAATTCAACTTTCCACATAGGGAGAAGAACTGCTAATCAAGCAATGGCTTCAGAGCGCCTCTCTTCTCGTAAGGGCAATCCACATTCTGAATAATTTGTATGGTCGAATGATGACACACAAAAAAGCTCTCCCCATTAGGACCTTAAGGCAGCCTTTGTAACCTCTTTACGTTACCCTCACCACTAGCCCCAAACGCAATCATAAAAACAAGCCCATTTAAAAGAAAAATTCCCAACACACAATTCTTTTAGAGCCTCATTCACTAACTGAGGAGTAGCTTCTTGAACAAGACCCCTAACTTCCCTTTGATTGCTCTGGGGCCTACAAGGCAAGTCCGTCACTGCTGCACATTTGTAGCGAGGTGCTTGCGAGCGCCCCGAGTTGGTTTTCTGTTCTGTTTAGACTAACCCATAACCACTCACACCACACGGGTTTAAAGGCTCATCCTCCCGAGCCTCACACCGCTCTGGTCAGCGGTCCTCGCAACCTTCACCCCCGCGCATCCCCTTACGGAGCACCCCAAGGCAAGGGCATAACAGGCCCCATGCACGCCAGCACTGATCCTCAGTCCCCGCAGCGCCCCGCGCGAGAGTCGCCTCTTTTGGGTGGTCACTTAAGTGCCCCGAGGGCACCGACCCCCGCCCTTCCCACAGCCTCCGGACGCCCCGGCACCAGGCTGGGGCCCCGTGTGCAGGTGCCTCTGGGGAGGCCGACCCGGAGAAAAGCGCACGGGCCACCTGCCCTCGACGGCCCCGCCCCGGGGATGCCGAGCTGCCCTTCCAGCTCACCGCGGCAGCGGCCGCCCAGCCCTGCCCTGCCCTGCCCTGCCCTCCCTACGCCGCGTCGACCCACAGGCCGCCGCAGCTCGGCTTCACCTCCGCTGGCCGCCGAGGCCGCTGCCGCTGCCGCAGCCCGGGCCCGCCTTCGAAAGCCGGCGGGAGCCAGGAGAGCTGCGGAGGTGGACCGGCGCCACCCCGCACTTGCGTCTCCTCCTCCCGCCTCCTCCCTCTCCCCTCCCTGTCCTCGCTGGCGGCGTCTGCGGCGCCGGGCGCTCCGCCGACTCAGCCGCTCTCGCCCAGGCCCGCCCTTTCCGCCGCACGGAGTTTATATAGGCGCGCCCCGCCCCCATCCTCCCGCACGCGCAGCCTCGGGCCGCCCCGGCACCGCCTCCTTCCGGGGCCCCTGCCCCGCCGCCGCGGGTCGCGGGCCCCGGAGGGCGTTTGTTCCAGGCCGGGCTGCGGCGGGAAGTCGGTCGCGAGAGGGCGCGTTCTCCCCGCGATTGCGCAGATTGCAGGGTACCAGGTGGGCCCGGTGTGTCGCCGAGAGCCAACCGGCGGTAGACCCAGCAGCCCTGCCTAACCTTGCTGATTGCGAGCGGTAGCTAGAGGATGTGCGACCTTGAACAGGTGATTTCGATCGTCCGAAAAGGGCGGCGCGCCCTTTGTGGAATTGCCAGTGAAATGAGCTTGAGCTTCCCTTGGTGGTTTAGGTGGGCACTCTTGAAGTGCTGGCGTGCCTTTGCCCTGTCAGATTCCATCCTTCCTGGTCGGGTAGGGAAAAATCACTGTTTCTCCCGAAAGGACTCAGCCTTTGACAGCAGAATGCCCCGAATCAGCATGGCCATAAAAATGGAGTGAGTGACTCCGCAACCTTCAGTGTAAGATTGTTTATTTAGGCTGTGTCATTTGTTGCTTTGAAGCAGGTGGATTTGTTGGCACTCAGAGAAAAGGCTGATAAAAATGTTGGTAAGGTTGCATAAAATCAAGAAAAAAGGCTGGAAACACATCAGTGTTTCTGAAGGAAGGCATAGTGTTTAATGAATAAGGGAGGGGGGAGGGGGGAAACATTCAGCAACATCTGGGCCTCAACATGTGTCCAGCTATTACACCACATAGAATTGATTTAGCTCCTGTCCCTGAGGCTCTGATGAGATTTATTTAGACTGGCAAGAAAAGAATAGAGAAAAATCAGAAGTATAATAAAGGAAACAAAGGTCCAGTTTAAAAAGTGTTAGCCAAGCCCACACCAAAATTATCATGATTTTTAACATTTCTTGATACAGTATTTTGCCACTTATTATCTGTGTTCTTTTAGGTCCCTCCTGAAGTAATGTACCTTAATGTTGCATCTTAACTTTGAAACTCTGAATCCCACATGTGACCTTGAGGGTCAAATATTAGATTGTCCATTTGTTTCATTGTTTATAACTAGAGAGAACAGAAGCTGTTGAGCATGAAGGGAAACAAAAAACTGGACACAGTTTTTTGTTGAAAAAGTGAAGGACACACTTTTGGATCAATGAGAAGGCACAAAGTTACACCAGAGATTATGACTGTTGTAGCGACTGTTGTAGTCTACACTAATTAATACCTAAGAATGTTATTTCAGCCATATTAATCATGAAATATTTGCCTTCTAATTGATGAGGAAAAAATAATCTCCTGGGTCAGATAGATCGGGCCATAGGTCCTAAATGTCCCATTAGTGGAATAATTTTGAATAAACCTGTATGGATTTATTTCCCAAAATGGAGTCAAAAAGTGAACTGAGAAAGAATACAAAAACAAAAATAATTAAACGTCAAGTCCAGTAAGGTACAGTCTGTATAAGCATAACATAACATTTGTAGGAGATTGTATCTGAGTAGATAAGGTTGCAATAATGTCTTCTGACATAATTTAAAAAGTGATTGAGGAAAAAGCTTTCCTGCTAGAGAAGATCTTTTAAGCCAGTAAATCTGGCTTATTTTAGAAGGACATGCCCAGGGGCACTTGGGTGGCTCAGTCAGTTGAAGCGTCCGACTCTTCATTTCAGCTCAGGTCATTATTTCGCGCTTTGTGAGTTCGAGCCCCATATCAGGTTCTGTGCACTGATTGCAGAGCCTGCTTGAGATTCTCTCTCTGCGCTTCCCCTACTTGCTCTCTCTCTCTCTCTCTCAAAAAATAAATAAACTGATAAAAATTTCAAAAAAAGGACATGCTCAAAGCACAAATTTATTATCTATTTTCCTCTCCCCACTCCCTGTTTTCTATTGCACCTTGATTTGTCTCGCCAACTATGAGGCAGTATTTGTGGAAAGTCACCTCCAAGCTTAGCAAAGAAATGCTGTATTTACAATGTGAGTTTAAAAGAAGTGTTTTAGGGGCACCTGGATGGCTCAGTCAGTTAAGCATCCGGCTTCAGCTCAGGTCATGATCTCACAGTTCATGGGTTCCAGCTCCACATCAGTCTCTGTGCTGAATGCTCAGAGCCTGGAGCCTGCTTCAGATTCTGTATCTCCCTCTCTCTCTGCCCCTCCCCTGCTTGTGCTTAGTCTCTCTCTCTCTCTCTCTCTCTCTCTCTCTCTCTCAAAAATGAATAAACATTAAAAAAATCTTTTTCATAAAAAAAGTATTTCAAATCAATAGGGGAAGAATATATAGATTCATTCATTCAACAAATATTTATCATTATGTCAGTTATATCTCAATAACTGAGGGGGGTGGGCAGAGGACAAATAATTATTGGGTATCTGCTATGTGTTGGGTGATAGAGATACAATGGTGAGCAAGACAAATATAGCCCGTGCTCTCCTGGAACTAAGCAGGAATTCAGTAAACACTACAGGAATAACTAGCAAAAACAACTATGTCAATAAAAAAGAAAAACAAAAATACTAAAGACTTATGATGGATGGTTTGTTTGATTTCTGTAAAAACAGCCAAACTTTACAACCCTTGAAAATGTGAAGATTTTAAATATGCATTTTCTGGCAAATGTATGTTTCATCCAGGGATGGTTATGCTGTAGTCACTTAAAGTTAACGTAGCTTCATGTTGTTGAAACTGGAAAGATTAATTCACCAAAGGATGCTGAAGTTGGTAGCATGTGAGTGGAGATACGAGAAATGATCTTAGGTATTTTGTTATAGGTGATAGAAATCTGCTTCTTAGTGGCTCTACAGAGCTTTGTAAAGTATTAACGTGGGGGGGAAAAAGGACCAAGAAAAATAACAAGAGGGCTGAGAAAGACAGAGATTCTCAAGGAACAGTTAACACAGTAAAATTGTTTAAAATGTTGCACGTTTGGGGCACCTGGGTGGCTCAGTCGGTTGAGTGACTCATGATCTCAGCTCACAGTCGTGAGCAAAAGCCCTTCGTTGGGCTCCGCGCTGGGCATGAAGCCTACTTTAAAAAAATAAAATTAGGGGCGCCTGGGGGGCTCAGTCGGTTAAGTGTCCAACTTCAGCTCAGGTCACGATCTTGCGATCCCTGAGTTCGAGCCCCGCGTCGGGCTCTGTGCTGACAGCTCAGAGCCTGGAGGCTGCTTCCGATTCTGTGTCTCCCTCTCTCTCTGCCCCTCCCCCGTTCATGCTCTGTCTCTGTCTCAAAAATAAATAAACGTTAAAAATAAATAAATAAATAAAATAAAACAAAACATAAAAATTCTACATTCACATGCTTGCAGGTTCATAGGTGTCTTTTCAAGTATTTGAGGAGAGAAACTTATAAAGGACTAGCCAATATAGACTTCAGGTAGGAAAAAAGGTTACCATAATAGTTTGAGGCATTTTTTGAAAGAATTCCTGCACCTTCTAAGGTTAATATTCTTGTGGGTTTATTTTTTCATAAAATTATAGTACCACATTCCCAGTGGTTTTGTTTATACTGTTCTTCTGGTATTGGAATTAATGCATCAATAGTGCTTCACCATTAAGTCCCTTTGAAATAAAAATTACCGGAGCACCTGGCTGGCTCAGTCAGAGGAACATGCAACAACATGAAGCTACTTTAAGTGACTACAGCATAACCAGCCCTAGAGGAACCATGAGTTGGAGCCCCATGCTGGGTGGGCTCACTAAAAAAAAAAAAAAATTTTTTTAATTCTTAGGAAAGAAATGATTAATGTAGAACTTATGAATGTGTATGTGGTCAATAAAATCAAGCCCATACATCTACAATTTCTGTCCAACTTCCAGATATTGTAAAGTGGTAACAACAAAGACTGTGAAGCCACACAACACTGGATCTCATTCTAACTTCTGCCAGGGGTGATCTACCTGAATGATCTTGGGCAAGTTACCCAAATTCCCTGGGCCTCAGATCCTTGAGCTATAAGACAGAGAGAATACTACCTGCTTAACGGTGTTTTTAAGGACTTTATTTAATTTATGAGAAAGCATATCTTGGGGTGCCTGGCTGGCTCAGTCAGTGGAGGATGCAACTCTTGATCTTGGGGTTGTGGGTTTGAGCCCCACGCTGGGTATAGGGATTGCTTGAAAATAAAATCTTTAAAAAAAAGAAAAAGAAATAAGAAAGAAAAAGCGTATCTCTTGGAAGGGACCATGAAAACACATCGTCCCCTGAGATATCTTCATTTGCAGCTTTTCTGACAGTGCAGAGCCCAGCATTTCTCCTGGTAGCCTGAGGAGACCTAGAGAATTTTAGGGCTGTGAAACCCCTCCCTTATCTTAAAGATAAGGTAAGTAGAGCTTCTGGGCATTTGGGAGTTTTCTTTTTCTTTTTTTTTTTTTTAATTTTTTTTTCAACGTTTATTTATTTTTGGGACAGAGAGAGACAGAGCATGAATGGGGGAGGGGCAGAGAGAGAGGGAGACACAGAACCGGAAACAGGCTCCAGGCTCTGAGCCATCAGCCCAGAGCCCGACGCGGGGCTCGAACTCACAGACCGTGAGATCGTGACCTGGCTGAAGTCGGACGCCCAACCGACTGCGCCACCCAGGCGCCCCATGGGAGTTTTCTGAGGACCTAAAGAATCTAGGTCTCCTGCCTACTGGAGCAACGGTCATTCCAAGTTTTTCACCCCTTTTCCTTGCTGCTTCCATAGAAAATACAGAAATTTTAGGCAATTACACTGGCAGAATTGAAACTAAAAAGAATAAACGATTCAGTATTACTGTATCTTCAAAGGAATTCAGTCCTTTGAATAAGATATCTTAAAACAGTCATGTCTTTTGACCCAATAGTCCTTATTTTAGGAACTTCACCCATGGAAATAATCAGGGATATAGACAAAAATTTATTTATAAAAATGCTAATTACAGCATTTTATTTTAAGTTTATTCATTTATTTTGTGTGAGAGAGAGAGAGAGAGAGAGAGCAGGGGAGCGGCAGAGAGAAGAGAGAGAATCCCAAGTAGGCTCCAACCTGTCAGCACAGGGCCTGCCATGGGGCTCAATCTTAGAAATCGTGGGATGAGATCATGACCTGAGCTGAAATCAAGAACCAGCTGAGCCACCCAGGCACCCCATAAGTGGTGAAAAATTGTTAATGGCAACCTAGGCATTCAGTGATAGAATAATAGCTAAACAAGTTGACTCTGATCCATGAATTATAATTCAGGCAGTAATCTATTTTTTTTTTTTTTTTTTTTTTGAAAGCAAGAACTGAAGCAGAGGAGAGGCAGAGAGAGAGGGAGACGGAGAATTTGAAGCCAGCTCTGCCAACAGCAGAGAGTCGAATGCGGGGCTCAAACCCATGAACCATGAGATTATGACCTGAGCTGAAGTCAGATGTTTAACCAACTGAGCCACCCAGGTATCCCCAAATAATCTTTTTTCAAGAATATTCAAATAACATGATATTATGTGAAGTTTTAAAAAAGGCAGAATAATAACATGATATAAAACATTATTTAGTACAATAGTGATTTTGTAAAATGTTTAATTTTAAATATGCATAGAAAAAGCTAGAAGTTATTTTCCTCTATTGTTTATAGCATGTATTTATTCTATATAGCTAGCAAGATAGAAAATTTCACCCAGCAATGAAAACTACTCTTTCTAAAGATAACCACTATTAATATTTTTGCTTACCTTCCAGGCTTATTTACAAGCAAATACCTATATAGTTGTTTGTTTATTTTTTATAAAAATGGAAATATACTAAAATTTTATGGTAATTCTACCTTCGCTCAAAATATAGAAAGTATTTTTCTACTAAAACAAATTGAAGGGCACTTTGGTGGCTCAGTCAGTTGAGTGTCTGACTCTTGATTCAGTTCAGGTCATGATCTCACTGTTCATGGGATTGAGCCCCATGTCAGACTCTGCACTGACAGCACAGAACCTGCTTGGGATTCTCTCTCTCGCTCTCTCTTGCTCTTTCTCTGCCCCTCCCCTGCTCTCTCTCTCTGGCTCTCTCTCCCTCTCTCAAAATAAATAAACATTTTTTTAAAAACAGACACATTGGACTTCATCAAAATGAAAATTTTCTGTGCTTCAAAGGACACAACCAAAAAAATGAAAAGAAAAAGTTAAGTTCCCTTGAGACATGTAACTTTGTTTTGATATGGAAACAGTGTGATACATAAACGTTATTGTACAACAGTAGTTTTAAGAGTAAAATATGTAAGGTTGAAAAGGTTGAAAAAGAAAGCGAGCTCTGTCTTTTCTTATTGAGACATGTTTGTGTTTCCATTGTACTAGATAAATAAATGTGAATGCAAAATTGTATTAAAAAGAGTAAATGAAAAGACAGTCCACAGAATTGGAAAAATATGTGCAAATCACCTATCTGATAAGGTACTTATATCATCAATAATATATATTGTATTATATTATATATTTTATATGTTTTCATATAAGAATATATGAAGAACCCTTGCACTAAATAATAAAAAGATAAACCAATTTAAAAATGGGTAAAAAAAATCTGATCAGGAATTTCTTCAAAGAAGATACATAAATAGCCAATAAATACATAAAAAGATGCTCAATATCCTTGTTCATCAAAAATTCAAATCAAAACACAGGGAAATTCCACTTCACACCTACTTAGGGTGGCTACAATCGAAATGACAGATAATAACAAACGTTGATGAGGATGCAGATACATTGGTTGGAACTCTCATACACTGCTGGTGAGAGTGTAAAACAGTGTAGCCACTTTGGACAACAGTCTGGCGATTCCTCAAACGGTTAAACATACAGTTTCCATATGACCCAGCAATGCCAAATAAATACTCCTAGATATATTCCAAGAGAAATGAAAGCATATCTCCACACAGAAACCTAAACACAAGTTTTCGTAGCAGCGTTTTTCACATAATCAAAAAGGAGAAATAGCCCAAGTGTCCATCAACTGACGCGTGGATAAGTAAAATGTGGTATACTCATACAAAGGAATACTAGTCAATGGTGAAAAAGAATGAAGTACTGATACTTCACATGGCAAAGATGAACCCGGAAAACACTACATTATGGGGAAAAAAGCTAGACACAAGGACCACATACTGTATGATTCCATTTATGTGAAATATGCAGAATAGACAAATCTATCGAGACAGAAGGTAGATTGGTAGTTGCCTGAGGCTTGGGGGTAGTTTTAGGGGGAAAATGGAGAACAACTGCCAATTGTACAGGGTTTCCTTGTGGGGTGACAAAAATGTTCTAGAGTTGATAGCAGTGACGGTTGCACAATCCATAAGTATACTAACAACTGCTAAATTGTAAGCTTTAAATGGGCCAGTTGTACAGTGTTGTAGGTTGATTTGTGTCCACAAAAAGATCTGTTGAAGTCCTAACCCCCAATACCTGAGAATGTGCCTTTACTTGGAAATAAGGTCTTTGCAGATGTAATCAAGTTAGGGTGAGGTCATACTGGATGAAGGTGAGCCTTAAATCCAATGACTGGTGTCCTGGCTAGAAGAGAGAGATTTGAAGACACAGAGGATAAAGGGGGAAAGAAGGCCATATGAAGACAGACAGATTGAAACCCTGGAACCACAAGGCAAAGAACACCAAGGATTACTAACAGCCATCAGAAACTAGGAAGAGGCCAGGAGCGATTCTTCCTCCAAACCTGTAGAAGGATCATGGCCCTGCTGACACCATGATTTTGGACTTCTAGTCTCTGAACTGTGAGAGAATAAATTTCTGTTGATTTAAGCCACTTTGTTTGTGGTAACTGGTTATAGCAGCACTAGAAAACTGACATATACAGTGTGTAGATTTTAGCCTAATAAAACTGGTTGGGTTTTTTTTTTTTAATGTTTATTTATTTTTGAGAGAGAAACAGAGAGAGCACAAGTGGAGTAGGGGCACAGAGAGAGGAAGACACAGAATTTGAAGCAGGCTCCAGGCTCTGAGCTGTCAGCACAGAATCCGACACGGGGCTTGAACCCACAAACCACGAGATCATGACCTGAGCTGAAGTCAGACGCTTAACTGACTGAGCCACCCAGGCACCCCTGTTTGGGTTTTTTTTTAATGTTTGTTTGTTTATTTGTTTATTTATTTATTTAGAGAGAGCGTGCGCACATGTGAGTGGGGAAGGGACAGAGAGAGAGAGAGAGAGAGAGAGAGAGAGAGAGGGAGAGAATCCCAAGCAGGCTCTGCCCTGTCAGCTCAGAGCCTGACATGGGGCCTGATCCCACAAACCATGAGATGATCATGACCTGAGCCGAAATCAAGAGTCAGATGCTTAACCGACTGAGCCACTCAGGCGCCCCTGTTTTGTTTTTTGGTGTTTTTTTGTTTTGTTTTGTTTTGTTTTGTTTTGTTTTGTTTTGTTTTGTTTTCAGGGCTCTGGCTTTAGTTTTGTCATAAGTGGAAATTTGTATACTCTAATGGCAGAGAGCATTAGTGGTGTAGAAAGCAAAGGAAAGCCCTAACCATGCAGATTTCCCCTGGGGGGACATGAACGCATGTTTCATGCGTACAAACTGTCTGAGCTGCCAGGCAGTGTAATTCATTGGTTCCTGGGTCTTTTATTCTTTCTTATCTCAGGAGCCCTTCTCCCACCTAGGTTGAATTCTGTAACTGGGCCACAAACAAAGCAATCTTGTTCTCTCCATTTTCTTACATCACTGAGTTTCTCAGTCTATTTCAGATTCTCAGATTTTCTAGGGAGAGGTTGGACTAGAAAACAGTCTGAGACCGTTTGCATTCTTCTACAACCAAAAATTTGCCCCAAGTAATGTTTATTATCCAAAATTAGATATCGTCGCATTGGTACCTTTGGGGTTTTAGTTTACAGAGGTGACTGAGTGACAACACAGAGAGGTCAATGCCATTGAAAGAAGATCTGTGTTACTTCCATTTCCCAAGAGGAGGGTGCCTGTCATAGTACACAGGGCCACATGGGGAGCATCAGGTTTTGGTGAGGAGCAGAAGTAGAAGTGAGGGGAAGGCATAAGGTCAGGGCCCTAGTTGGGGTTTCTGCAGGAAAGACAAGGCAGAGTAAAGTAAGCGGTTTAGGATGGGTTAGTCTGAATAATTTCAGCAGGCTTGGGGCTATAGGTTGTGGTCTTTGGTTGCTGTGGATGATTTAGGGCAGAGGAAATACTGGCTTACTGTGTGAGAGTTAGTATAAGAAGATGTGTGAGTTCCAGACAAGGTGACTTGCAGGAGATGGGTAAACACTGGCTGTGATTCACAAATGCCAAATAGACCTCTAGAATCTGAAAACACAAAACAGATACCCCATTAATTATTACCTTCAGACCGAGTGTCCCATCTCCTCAAGTACACTGTCTGAGAGGTTAGCAGCTGAAATATCCTCCCTGTTGTTTGGGAACCAAACTTTTGTTCCTACTTTATTCAGTCATTACCTCTGCCCTGCATCCCTCGTAACTGCCAGTGTGTCCTAACAGGTCTCATCATGTCACTGCTCTACTATCAGTCAGAGATCAAAACTTCAGTAGCTCCCTACTGCCCTCAAGATAAAATGTTCTTTGTAAATTACTTAAATTTTACTTTTGTGTTTTTTTTTTAATTTTTTTTTTTAGCGTTTATTTATTTTTGAGACATAGAGAGACAAAGCATGAACGGGGGAGGGTCAGAGAGAGGGAGACACAGAATCTGAAACAGGCTCCAGGCTCTGAGCTGTCAGCACAGAGCCCGATGCGGGGCTCAAACTCATGGACCGTGAGATCATGACCTGGGCTGAAGTCGGCCGCTTAACCGACTGAGCCACCCAGGCGCCCCTTAAATTTTACTTTTGAATAGCTAATGCAGTACAGCCACTCTGCAGAAGGAAATATCTCCCTTCGCCCTTACCCTCACTTCCCTTCCTCCACGACGACCAGCACTGTTTCTCATGTATCTTTCTGTAGATTTTCATGCATATCCGACGAGTATACACATATATTCTCCCACCACCAACTCTTTTTTAGCCAAATGTTTGTATATAAACACTGCTGCACCTTGTTTTTTTTCCTCCTAACAGAATATCTTTGCAGTCATCCCTTATCCCTGTACAAGGAGCTTCCTCATTCAAACCAGCATAGTTTTTTGCATTGTTTAATTGTATCATTGCACCAGCTGATTTAACCAGTCCTCTAGTGAAGAATACTAAGGGTATTTCTAACCTTTTTCCATTACAAACAATGCTGTGATGGATAGTCTTATCCATATAGTATTTTGCACATTTTTTAGTGTATCTGGCAGAGAAATCCTTAAAAGCAGAATTACTGAATCACTTGTACTTTTGATAGGTGTTTCCAAATCAAATCCACTCCCTCCCCCAATAAAAGCGATAACATCTAGATTCCCATCGGCAGCACATGAGGCCTATTTATCGTCACCCTCATTAACATGGGTAGCATTTG